AGTTTATGAATTTAAATTTTTTTTTGCAGGTTTTGTAGCGGTTTTAATGTAGTTTCTAAATATGTAAAGTTTATTTACTAAAAATAATTCTATTAATACGATCAGAAAAAAAATCTATTAATGACAGGAACTAGTTTACTTTATAGTAAGTCAAACATCGTAAATCGTGTTGGAACCTTAAAGTGGGACGGAGGGAGTACTTTCTTATGACTAAATTAATAGTAGTTCATTCAAAAAAAAAATAGCACTACCTCCGTCCCAAAATTATTTGCAAATTTGACTTTTTTTATCAAACCGATTCATTTTATTCGTTTAATTAGAATGTCAAAGTTTAATTATACTCTAATTTGGAGTTTACAACTTCGAAGAGATTTTAATGTAATTTCTGAATATATAAATTTTAATTATTGAAAATTGAATTAATTATCAATAGGGAGCATTGACTTTTATTATTGGTTGACAAAAAAATGTTGACTTTACAAAGCAATTTGGGACGAAGGAAGTAGTTTGTAAAAATACAGCCTAAATATAGTGACAATGATAATAATTTTAGTTATAATATTCATGCTCAATTTTTACCCTTAAATGACTATCAGATTATGTTACGGAGTATTATATTTCAAATTTGCGTCACAAGAAATGTGACAAAGGCTTCTCATCTGCATGGAGCTCTATGCCAATCTCCGTTACGATTGACGAATTCCTTAGTCTAACGGTTGGTACACCCGATCCAAATTGACCCGTTCTCTTTATCCGGCAGTGCCCCTGCTTTAGAAAACTTCTGGTTCCGCCTGGAGAAGTGGGAAACTATGAAACAAGAGATAAATAGCGTAAAGTATAAAAAGTAAGGGAAATGTATTTTAAAGAGAAGTGTAGCAAACAAAATACTCCGTAATAAAGAGTGAGTGACTGGAACCATTGTCCAAAATTGACTATCATCGATCAAGAAAAAGTCAACTTTTTCCAAAAAAAATTAAGAAATCATATGTGACTCTCTTATGGAGTCACATTGTAACACCGGGCCCGAATTTTAACGTGAGATTTTTTTTCATCAAGTACTAGGTTAAAGAAGGTAAATCAAGACTAAGAGTAGTCTTGATCAATGAGAAAGTAAAATTATGTCTTAAATTAATAAAGAGTTATTAATTTAGACATGGGAACACTCGTGATATTCTAAGTTTATTTATAAAATATTAATGTTTACCAAAATGATACTATTACGATAGTGGTGATATAAAGAACGACAACTAGATGGTCAAGCGGGCCGGGGTCACTATCCGATAATTGCGAATCCTTAATTATCAGATGAGTAAAGGGTCAGTTTGGTCCTCGAAGTTGCAAAAAAGGCGTCAAATAAGTCCTTATATAGAAGATTCTGTCTGGACGTGCCATTTGAGGTGGCTCCCGGTGGAATTTTGTGATAATTTTTTTTGAGCATCTTATTCATTAAGTCTAGTTTACTCATACCAAATTTCAGCTAAAAATTCAATCGGGAAGACATTCAAATGAATTCTTGAAGATAACAGCGCTTTTAACGGCACAGTTATCTTCAAGAATTCATTTGAATGTCTTCCCGATTGAATTTTAATCTGAAATTTAGTATGAGTAAACTAGACTTAATGAATAAGATGCTCAAAAAATTTCATCAAAAAATTCTACCGGGAGCCACCTCAAATGGCACGTCCGGACAGAATCTTCTATATAAGGACTTATTTGACACCTTTTTTGCAACTTCGAGGACCAAACTGACCCTTATCCCATTATCAGATTGATAGTAATACGGAAGGCTACAAAATAATACAGAATGAATACAAATATTTTAAGAACCCAAAATATCAGAACGATGAATAATAATGAGTAGTTTGAGATATAAGATGAGGGTACTTTTGGAGGACCCTACCCTGAAGATATTTTTATATAAGAATAAACAGATAAGATTTCATACATTTCGGACCACTTGGAAGGGAGTGTAACATTTTATTAAAGTGTCACAAAATATGAAACCACATATTAAGAGGTCGTTTGGAACTACTGTTTTTCGGCTTATCAGACTTATCAGCCAACTTTTTCACCAAACACGTAATTTTTGCTTTCGCGCGCTTAATTGTGTAATAAGCAGAAAAAGTAAGGTTGAAGTTACTTTTCTGGCTGTATTGGCTTAAGTTACTGTAGATGACCATTTCAACTATTTTTACATATAATTTTTTCTTTATTTTATTAATAAAATATATTTCAAAAATAATTTTGTCTTAAATCAGTAGAATCGGCCAATGCAGCCACTTCAGCTAGAACTTCATAAATTTCGGCAAAAACAGCCAAATCAGCCGATTTTCGTGCTACCAAACGAGTGAATTTTCGAAGCAACGTGTTCTTATTTTTACTGTTGCTTGAACAGTAAAATTAGCACTTTAATTAATATCCTCAAAAACAAAGTGAGACAACTAGAGTGATACAGAGAGAATAATATAACGTAATGATTATTTAAGTGTAAAAATAGCACAAATTATTTCACTAAAATTAATCATAATCACTATTTTTAAAGTGTCGTATTTTTGTAAACAACCCTTCAGTTTAGGATGTTTTCTTTTGGACTGAAATTTGCTGGTCCGGTCTGGTATGGTCTGTTTAAGTCTGGTCTGTTTAAGTCTGGTCTGGTCTGATCTGAACTGGTCTGGTCTGGTAAACGTCTGGTCTCTGTGTATTTTATAACTACGGAAGTCTGGTCTGGTCTGGTCTGTTTAAGTCTGGTCTGGTCTGGTTAAGTCTGGTCTGGTCTGATCTGGTCTGTTTAAGTCTGGTCTGGTCTGGTCAGGCCAGTTTAAGTCTGGTATGGTCTGGTCTGTTTAAGTCTAGTCTGATCTGATCTGGGACCGAAAACAATCGAAAAGAAAACATCCGTAATCATTTCATGGGAGAATCTAATTGAGCAATTTATTCACTATCAATATCTTAATTGAATAATCTAAATCCTATAAGAAAAATAAAATACATCGTAAAAAACAATTAAATACATCATAGTTTCTAAAATTTAAAGAAAAAATTACACAAATATTACTTCTTTAAATCTCTCTAACAAAAACATGACTATTGATTAAAATAATAAGGTGGTTTCCCTACAATTACTCCAAGGTTGTTGTACGTGGATTGGTAGTTATGGGCTTCTAGTCACTCTTTTGTAAACCCAAATATTATTGGTAATATTTACATAAAAAACTCTTTTAAAATATCTTCACAAATCCGAAATGGAAACAGCAAAATTGTTCTGGAGCACAATAACTAATCCCGGCAAGAATCCACAAAACTGGTTAATTCAAAATATCCCACAAGATGTAGAACTCAATCCGCTGACCGCTCTTCCTTTACAGGCGTTCTGCAGGTGCGGCCTGACGTCCGACAGCCGGACCGGCTTCAGACAGTACTCCTCGGCGCCCTCCGACAGACAGGTATTAATCCGGGCAGGAATATCCTCTGACGACACAATGACGACGGGGATATGCTTCAGAGCAGAGCAGCCCTTGATCTCCCTCAACAGATCGTACCCGGTCATTCCGGGCATGCTGTAATCGGAGATGATCAGATCCGCTCCCACCTCATTCAACACTCGGAGAGCCATGGCCCCGGAATCCACCACCGTCACTTTCACATTGTCACCGGAGCAAGCCTTCAGGATCCTCTCGATCAGTTTCCGGTCGACGATGCTGTCGTCGACGGCAAGAACGTGGAAGTTTTGGCACCGGCTGTATGCCATTGATGATAAACTTATGAAGTATACAAAAAGAATATGAACTTATGTAGAGTGAATTTTGGGAATGTGAGAGAATTGGGAAGGATGTGCTGTTATATACTCCCAGAAGATGAATGGATCAAAGGGGCGATTTTGGGGGGCTGGAGAGGATCTTTGATTCGGAAGATGAGATTAGATGTGATATGCCGGTGGCGCGATCATACAGAACATGTGCGGCAAATACGGAGTATATATACTCCGTACTCCGTATATCTTTTAATTTGAATGTTTGATTTGGAGAGGCAGAGATTGCAACGTGTCCCGATGGTGATCTGTACTGGCCGGCTGCCAAGTCAATCAGTGGCCGCTCCATATCTTTTCTTATTCATTTCATTTGACTAATGTAATTCATTAATGCTCGCACCGTATTACTTGTGTCACGGAGCTGGATTTTATCAGTGTTGCTTCACACATGGGAAACCTGTTTTTTTTTAATACGAAGTATAATGAATCGGGTTCACCATTTAAGGACTTGCAACATCTTTTAATATTGTTGTGTTTTAAGGATGTTTTCTTTTGGACTGAAATTTGCTGGTCTGGTCTGGTCTGTTTTGTTGGTTGTGTTTCGGAAAATAAAGAAAATTTATTAAATGAAATGACTAGAGAAAAACAAGAAAGGAGATGAAACAGAATTAGTCAAAGCTCGTGCTACGCACGATATCCTTAAAACGTATTTGTTGCCTCCCACGGTGTTTGATCGGCTTAGACTTGCAAGTGTACAAGTGCCGATGTAGTAATAAAATCCGGTAAAAATACCGAGTCGAACACGAGGAAACGTTGTTTATATGATTCAAAAATTGAGAATATAATTTGTAAAAGACTTGGTAAAAGAGTAAAGATTTTTGGTTTTTCAAGTGGTAATGAAAGCAACCAAGGGTTCGGGATTACTCCTAAATGACTCCTAGCGATTAATGTATATTCTTTCACCAATTCTTATGAGTGGAATGTCGCTAAAGTATTCTAACTCCTGTTACGGCAGCGAGATTGTGATTAATTCTACGTGTGAATCCCGTCACGGTTCACATTCATCTAAAATTAACCCCATTGAAGATTAGGACATTATTACAACCACCATATTCAATTGAGGTATATTTCTATCCACAATTAGAATATGTCTAGCCTTTAAGTGCACGGTTTATAACTCAACGTTAATTGCTCAAATAAACCCAACGATATAATCATACGTTGTACACCGTAGTCATACACATTAAAATATAAAGGAAAGATCATAATAATTTGGTTGAGAACATACATCAAACACCTAGAATGCGTAAAGTTTCATCCCTAACCTTGGCTATGGAAAATTAGCTAGAGCAACTCATAATGAAATTACAAGTATTGAATTGATGAAATACAATGAAATACATAAGAAGATAATACCACAACTCCAAAGCTATGGTGGATAATGGGATCCCCAAGTGTAGAACTTCTTCCAAGACCAAGGGGTTGATCTTGGAGTGTTAAAATGGAAGTAAAGTGTATGGAATATGGAATAATCACTTGAGAGGGCTTCCATATGCTTAAATATTGGGTCTTCAACGGCCATTTTTGGACAAGGAAGCAAGCTCCTTAATGGGGTTTGGAGCTTCTCTCGAATGATTGTGATGACCGTTGCCTGTTTTAATCAGTGCCAGACGAAACCCGGGCGACATTCGCAAAAGCCGGGCGGCTTTTGCGCGTTTAAAATAGTCTGCCTTCGCTCCAGGGCCCGAAAACCGGCCGCCATTTACAAAAGCCGGGCGGCTTTTGTAATTAAATTCTGAACAATTCCTTCGGCGACCAAAAGTCGGCCGGTGTTCACGAAAGCCGGGCGGCTTTCGTCCTTTCTTGCTCCGGATCAGATTTTCCAGCTTTGGATGCGAAAATAAGCTTGGGGACCAAAGGCCGGCCGCCTTTGGCATAAACCGGGCGGCTTTCGTCTGTCTTGGGCGTTTTTGTGGTCTTTATTTGTTCCTCGGGATGCGTTTGGTTGACCTTTTTCCGTCGGTTTCTTCGTGTGTATTCTACCATCCTTGCATTTGATCCATTTGTTGATTTAAAGAACTTCTAGCAAAACGAGGCATATGTGTGAAGATTTAATTCTTTTAAGTATAAAAGCGTTTATAAATGATTGTGTAAAACACGTTAATAAAACGCTTATCAAATACCCCCACACTTGAGCTTTGCTTGTCCTCAAGCAAATTTCGAAACTTTCTATGAAAATATTAAGGCAAAACGTTAAGAAAAGTTTCTTTTGAAGAAAAGGGTTTGAAGGACAAGGGTTTTGCTAAAATATTTTTCAAAAAATATGGACCAAAAATGAACAATTTTTTCCAAAAAAAACTTGCACAATTTTCAAGTATAAAGTCACCCCCCCCCCCCCCCCGCCCCCACACTTATTCCACATTGTCCCAATGTGAAGCACAAGAGTAATTAAATGCAAAGCAAGAAAATAAGCAATCAAACAACACATAATAGGCACAAAAGTAGCACAAGGAGTTTAAAGAAAAACAAAGAAAAGGTGGTTCAAGTTTAGTATTTTTAGTACACTTCCCTTTTCATAACCTACTCATCCCCTTCATTTCCATCTCCTTGGGGAGGGAAATAAAAGTGCGGGTCATAAGGTGGCGGTGGTGGAATGCTGAAGTGCCGCCCTAACTCTTGGCAGTAGTAGTTCATGTTCCAAAGATGACTCCCCATGCCTTCAATAGCCCGCCGTTGGTCCCGCAAATCCCGTCGATGAACCGCAAGCTCTGTATGAATTTGACCAAATTGTTCGGTCAAATAGTCCATGTCGTAATGAGTTCCGACTTGAGGTACGTGAGCCGCCTCCTCATGGTGTTCCTCGGGCTCTCCACCTTGGGCTTCTCCTCCTTCCATCATCTCTTCTTCATTTTCTTCTTCATCCTTTGTGGGTAAGGAATTGGTGGAACATAAGCCGTCATGGATGGTGGTGAAATATGCTCTTCTTCGCTTTGTTTTTCAATGGGCTCTTCTTCAATTGTTGGCCCTTCCATTTGTTTACCACTTCTCAAAGTGATAGCCATAACATTCTCCCTTGGGTTGACTTCCGTTGTAGTAGGAAATCTACCATGCTCCCTAGTTGTCCTTTCTTGAGCAAGTTGGCCAATTTGAACCTCCAAGTTATGAATAGAGGACTTGGTATATTGTTCAATATTGTCCATGCGTTGATTTAGCTTCCGGTTTTGATCTTCAAAACGCATGTCAAGTTTAGTGAATTGATTGTGGAGATTCCCAATGGATGCCTCCATTCTACTATGATTTTCTTCATTTTGAGTTTTGATGCTAGCAACATTTTTTGTGAGAAGCTTCATCATCTCCTCCATAGTAGACTCTTGCGATTGCCCAAATTTGGGGGCTCCGGGTTGAAGGTTTGAAGAACTCCCTTGTGCCCTATAATTGTTTCCTTGGTTGTACCTTTGTTGGTTGATGTTGGAAAAATTATTTCCACCTTGATTTGCCCGGTTACCATAGGAATTCATGTAGTTAACATCCTCAAGATGTTGAGAGGAGTTACCTTCCGTAGTAGGGACACTCTCCACATTTGCCACTTGTTGAGCCCCTCCAATAACGGCTTGTAAAGCCGTATGAATTGATGCTTGTATATTTTGTTGCACTTTGGTTTGAAACTCTTCAAACCTCTTGTCAAGTTCATGAGTGATAGAGATTTCATTCACTCCCGCCACCTTGATGTCTCCTCCTTGTAGTTGAGGATTTGAAGCAATGGACTCAAGAATCCTCAAAGCTTCCGTCTCCGTTTTGTTTCCAATGTACCCCTCCGCTCGGTTGTCTACAATAGCTTGACAAGATGAGTTCAAGCCATTGTAAAAAGTGTCAATTTGGAGGTCAAGAGGGATGCGGTGATGGGGGCATTCCTTCAATAAAGACTTGAAACGTCTCCATGCGTCTTGAAAAAGTTCTCCAACTTGTTGTTTGAAGTTGAAGATTCTTTGTCGTAGCTCTTGCGTCATTGTGGGAGTGTAGTACTTGGAGATGAAAACATTGTATATTTCATCCCAAGTAGCATAGGATGCCGGTGTTTGCTCTAGAAACCACCCTCTAGCCGCTCCCTTCAAAGTGTAAGGGAAGCACTTGAGCCTTAGATCACCTTCACTTAGCCCATTCCTAGGCACACCTTGAATGAACCCATAAAATTCGGTAATGAAATTTAATGGATTCTCTCCCGGTTGTCCATAGAAGTGCGGCATAGCATTGAAGTAGCTATTCCGCAACTCATAGTCCCGTGCCGCCTCGCTAAGAACGATGCAAGAAGGAGTGGTGGCAATAACGGGCCTCTTCCGTTCATTGAGTGTGGGAAGCATTGTTGGTACTCTTGCTTCCTTCTCCTTCCGATTCCTTCTACAAGCTCTCTCAATCTCAAGATTGATAGGTTCAAGGTTTGTAGAGCCTTGACTTCTCAATAGAATGCACTAAGAGCTTGTCTACACAACAAAATTCAAAACAAAACCAAGTGAAATGTAAAGGGAAAATTCAGGAATTTTGTTGAACCGTATAAACAAGACCGTTTCCCCGGCAACGGCGCCAAAAACTTGATCGGCTTAGACTTGCAAGTGTACAAGTGCCGATGTAGTAATAAAATCCGGTAAAAATACCGAGTCGAACACGAGGAAACGTTGTTTATATGATTCAAAAATTGAGAATATAATTTGTAAAAGACTTGGTAAAAGAGTAAAGATTTTTGGTTTTTCAAGTGGTAATGAAAGCAACCAAGGGTTCGGGATTACTCCTAAACGACTCCTAGCGATTAATGTATATTCTTTCACCAATTCTTATGAGTGGAATGTCGCTAAAGTATTCTAACTCCTGTTACGGCAGCGAGATTGTGATTAATTCTACGTGTGAATCCCGTCACGGTTCACATTCATCTAAAATTAACCCCATTGAAGATTAGGACATTATTACAACCACCATATTCAATTGAGGTATATTTCTATCCACAATTAGAATATGTCTAGCCTTTAAGTGCACGGTTTATAACTCAACGTTAATTGCTCACTACATCACCATGCACCTTATTTAACACAAGTTAACTACTCCACCGTGCATTTCTTGAGTCCAACTCAACTACATCACCATGCACATCAATCACCACATCATGTCTACCCAATGCAATTCTATGAGCACGGGCTCAAGTACATCTCCTTACATTGGCATAGACCCCAATTCCTAAGCACTCACTATGCCTAGAATTGTAATATCAATAATCTATTTTGGGACATCCCTACGAACTGCCCAACCATGGTCTTAGCATCACATTACATCAAATTTGTCACTTGCATCACAATCAAGTACATCAATTATAATCAAATCCTTAGATTCAATTCCTTAACAATTACAACAATCATTAACTAGTATTTCAATACTATTCAGATTATTCTTATCCATCATATACTCCATTTGTATAATCCTACATATTTAGATATATGTAGCAGCAACTTAATCATTCAACGCAATACATAAATAATCATTTGTGTATTCATACAATTCACACATGGATGAAATGACTATTTCACCCAATAGTTCATTTAACTCCATTTTTATCAATCCTTTACCAAATCATTTCTCATTTCATTCTTTGGAAAGTAGATCAATATTTCATCAATAATTTATCATCATAATCCATGGAAAACATTATTTAGGCATTTAGGTAATCTCATGCTTAACCTACAAGTTGTAAGCAACTAGATGTCGATCCTCACCTCAAATGAGCTTTAAAACTTTCCTTCTCGATCCAATGACCAAAGCCTCGGCCAAGGAAGATTGAGAACTGGTTCCTTGCTTGAAAATGGGTGTTAAACAGCTTCCTCAAGTTGCTAATTCAACCCCTAACCGTGGATACGAAAACAGCCCCTAGAACGGGTGTTTTCCGGCTAACTCGATTCCTAGTTTTCCAATATTTGCTCTAGGTTAGTATCTAACCTTTACATCAATAAAAATAACTTTACAAGGACATATTATACACTTGGATTAGTGTACAATAGTCCCACCAATCTTTCATATCATTTGGAAAATGAATGGAAAGGATTTGGGGTTAACAACTCACTTTAGAAGAGTAAATCCGTTTCTGCGAGGTTGTGTTTTGCTCGGACGATTTGGAAGCCTTCCTCTACTCCGATTGATGCAAACCAGACCTTCACGGATTCCTCGTCTTGAGAGCTTTCTTTTGGTATCTCACACGTCTTAATTGGATTGGTAAAACTCGAGATATCCACCAAACAGTCTCAGCACTCTCACAGCCCGAGTTCACAGACCACCACTCCCTCCAGCTCGATTTTTGTAAGATAAGCTCTCTCTCCTCGAACCAAGACCACTCAATTATGAAACTACACTTCAAGAGCTATCCAAGGACACCTCATACACGTTATTTGGTTGAGGATAGCTCCTATAATGAGAGGAGACAAACAGCACACCAATTTGTGCGAAAATAAGAGTGGTGGCCCAAACCTTGATTCTTATCAAGTCATGTGCAGCTCTTCTCCATAATGGCCGGCCAAGGTAAGTCTCCTAACCCATTTTTATTTGTCTTGCAGGTACTAATATCATGTGGAGTGGTTCCCAATTGATCCCAATCATTTTGGGGATCCAAATTATCTACCAATACATCCAAAAATGGAAGAATGGGTCCTATTGTTTTATCTTTTGTCAAAGATGTCTTTTTGTACTCATCCTAACTTATTTAGAACAAGTCAACTTCCTACATAACATTATTGATCTCCAATATGTGTAGGCTCATCTCAATAATTTACTTGATGGATAATATAGAAGGAAAATCCTACTCCCATTATTTGGCTCAATAATGCCAAAGATGGTATCATAGGCATTTGTATTCATCTCAAATCATCCTATAACTTATTTTGACATTTGTCATCCATATTATTGGGCTACCAGCCGTGTGGGTCGCCCCCGAGTGGGCCTACGACGCCATTCTCGAATACTTGCTATTTTAGCGGGTTGAGCCCAAAATAATATCTGGGCCGCCCGCCCCTCCTCAACTTGTCTTGAAACGTTATGTATCACTATTTAGATAATGCCAGGCCCTTTTATTTATTAATAAGGCCCGATACTAATATACGAGTTCGAACAGTATAATAATCAATCGTTAATTACGTAAAACAACAATCGTTTCACAATTGTTTGGGAATCAGAAATTCAATACATAAACTTTGAATTTTTAATTTGAATTTCCAAGGACGTTCGGGTGCGGTGTCACAAGTTCACCCCCCCTTAACAGGAATTTCGTCCCCGAAATTCACAGCTCTACTCGAATAGGAAAGCATATTGTTTCCTCATCAAGGCCTCTGTTTCCCATGTCTCTTCTTCGACCCGGTCGCTCTTCCAAAGGACTTTAACCATCGGGACTTCTTTGCTCCTCAGTTTCTTCACCTTCCTATCGGTGACCTTGATTGGTTGCACAGCGTAGTTCAAATCCTCACGTACCTCCACAGGCGGCTTTTCTAATACGTGAGAGGGATCATGCACATACTTCTTAAGCATGGATACATGAAACACATTGTGTATCTTTTCCAACTCAGGAGTCAACTGTAGACGATATGCTACGGCCCCAATCCTCTCTATAATTCTGAATGGACCTATATATCGTGGGTTAAGTTTTCCTCGGGTTTGGAATCGAATGATTCCTTTCCAAGGAGAAACTTTCAAGAATACCTCGTCATCAACCTTAAACTCTAAGGTTCTTCGACGCTTATCTGCATAACTCTTTTGTCTATCCTGAGCCGCTTTGAGTCTCTCTCGAATCAACTTCACCTTTGATTTGGTGACCTCAACCAACTCAGTACCCTCGAGTTTGGCCATGCCAACTTCGTCCCAGCATAACGGTGTACGGCACTTCCTCCCATACAATGCCTCGTATGGAGGCATGCCAATGCTCGCCTGATAACTGTTGTTATAGGCAAACTCCACAAGTGCTAAGTGGTTGTCCCAACTTCCTTGGAACTCCAATGCACAAGCCCTCAGCATGTCTTCTAAGATCTGTATGACTCTTTCAGACTGCCCATCCGTCTGTGGGTGGAAAGCAGTACTGAACTTCAGCCTCGTTCCCATAGACTCCTGAAATTTCGGCCAAAAACGTGATGTGAATCGTGGGTCTCTATCAGATACAATGGTCACTGGGACCCCATGCAGCCTCACGATCTCATCCGTATACAATTTGGCTAACCTCTCAAGTGGGTAGGTAGTGTTGATAGGCAAGAAGTGTGCACTCTTCGTGAGCCTATCCACAACAACCCAAACTGCATCATAGTTCCGAATTGTCCGTGGTAAACCTACCACGAAGTCCATTGTCACATGTTCCCACTTCCATTCAGGAATGGAAAGTGGTTGTAACAAGCCTGCTGGATGCTGATGTTCTGCCTTAACTTGTTGACAAGTAAGGCATCGACTGATGTACTCGGCTATCTCCCTCTTCATTCCAGACCACCAGTAACTTTCTTTCAAATCACGGTACATTTTCGTGCCCCCCGGGTGCATGGCATAAGCCGATGAATGAGCCTCCTCTAAGATGGACTTTCGGAGCTCATCATCTGACGGTACACACACTCGGTCACGAAATAACAAGAGACCATCATCTCTTTCCCTGAAATCCTCCACCGGTCCCGCTTGCATGCGTTCCCGGATCTTCATAATTTCTTCGTCAGCTTCCTGACCCTTCTTGATCTCATCAAGTAAGGTAGGTCTCACCTCAAATCGTGCCAATAAGGCACCATCGCTAGATACCTCCAGTTGGGCTCTTAATGCCCTCAAATTAGCTAGCAATGCCCCAGACGAGCTCTTCCGGCTCAAGGCATCTGCCACCACGTTTGCCTGGGTGATACTCTATCACTAGATGGTAGTCTTTTATCAACTCCATCCACCGTCTCTGTCTCATGTTTAGCTCCTTCTGAGTAAACACGTATTTCAAGCTCTTGTGATCAGTGTATATGTGACATGTCTCCCCGTAGAGATAATGTCTCCATATCTTCAGTGCAAACACCACAGCCCCCAGCTCCAAGTCATGAGTAGGATAATTCACCTCGTGCTTCTTCAACTGTCGTGAAGCATAGACGATTACCCTCCCATTCTGCATTAACACGCATCCAAACCCTTGGATGCTCGCGTCACTATAGACATCGTACCCCACACCCTGTTTGGGTAATGCAAGTACCGGTGCCTCGGTCAATCTCTTCTTCAGTTCGATGAATCCTTTCTCACATTTGTCATCCCATATAAACTTAGCTCCCTTTCGAGTGAGCTTCGTCAACGGCGACGCCAAAACAGAGAACTTTTCCACGAACTTTCTGTAATAGCCTGCCAATCCAAGGAAGCTACGAATTTCCTTGACATTCTTTGGTCTCTCCCATTCGGTAATGGCTTCTATCTTCTTGTTATCAACAGCAATTCCCGATCCTGAAACCACGTGCCCGAGAAAGCCAATTTCCTTTAGCCAAAATTCACATTTAGAAAATTTGGCATAAAGTTGCTTCTCCCGTAGTGTCTCAAGAACAAGTATCAAATGCTCCTCGTGCTCTTCTTCACTCTTCGAGTAAATCAAGATATCATCTATGAACACAATCACGAACCGATCCAAGTATTTATGGAATACTCGGTTCATCAAGTCCATGAATGCCGCTGGGGCGTTTGTTAACCCAAACGACATAACCAGGAACTCAAAATGCCCATACCTTGTGCGGAAAGCACTCTTTGGTATGTCGTCTTCCTTAATCTTCAATTGATGATACCCCGACCTCAAGTCAATCTTCGAAAACACGGTTGCTCCTCGTAGTTGATCAAACAAGTCATCAATCCTAGGCAAGGGATACCTATTCTTGATTGTGACCTTGTTCAGTTGACGATAGTCAATGCACATTCGAAGTGTCCCATCTTTCTTCTTCACAAAAAGAACTGGTGCTCCCCACGGGGAGTGGCTTGGTCTAATGAAACCATTATCCAAAAGCTCTTGCAATTGGGTTTTCAACTCGTTAAGTTCAGCGGGTGCCATACGGTATGGCGGGATGGAGATTGGTGTGGTGCCGGGCTCGACCTCGATCACAAATTCAATCTCTCTATCGGGTGGAAGTCCCGGTAAATCTTTTGGAAAGACATCCGGATACTTACAAACCACCCTCACATCGTCGATGTTTGTTTCTTCTTTGGTTTTGTCAACCACGTATGCTAGATATGCGTGGCATCCCTTTCTCATCATACTTCTCGCTCTCACGGCGGATATGATACAGCTATTTGATCTCCCTCGATCGCCCTCGAAGCGTAGGGTCTCCCCATCATTGCCTTCGAGTTCAAGAACCTTCGTGTAGCAATCTACCCTAGCATGGTTCCTTTCTAGCCAATCCATCCCTAGGATTGCATCGAATTCAATCATGCTCAGCGGTACGAAGTCACACGTCAAGGTTTGACCATTAACCTCCACCCCACAAGATGGATAGTAACAAGTTCTTTCCACGTCGTCCCCTAGTGGTGTTGATACCACTAAGGTTTGCATCAATGGTGCGGATTGCACTCCCAATCTCTTGGCGAACGCTTCATTCACAAATGAACGTTGCGCCCCGATATCGATAAGGATTCGCGCATCCTTCCCATTAATCTTTAGTGTTCCTACATTCATGAACCGTGTAAGACATCTTTCCTACCCTCCCTACTCATTTATAGAAGGTTACAATGTTCACACGCACGTTAGGGATCAAGAAAAGGTCTTAACGTCGCAAAACGGTGCGAAAAAATCGCACTTCGGCAATCTGGGTGCCAGGCACGGCGTGCCTGGGGTAGGCACGATCGTGCCTGGCTCCGGAAAAAGCCCTGGGGGCTACTGCCTTGGAGGCACGATCGTGTCTGCCTTAGGCACGATCGTGCCCGGTTTGGGGAAACACCTGGGGAGCTACTGCCTTGTAGGCACGATCGTGTCTGCCTTAGGCACGATCGTGCCTGGGCTGGGAAATTCCTGGGCAGCTACTGACTTGGAGACACGATCGTGTCTGCCTTAGGCACGATCGTGCCTGGGTTCCAGCCGCCTGAAGTTGCCCGAAATCCCCCGGTTTGACCCCAAAACCTTGTGCAATGGTCCTAGCGATTAGTAACCTCAATTTATGGACTAATTAAGGATAAAACACTAGCATACGAGAGGCAATACCTGCAACGGAATCCGGGTTAGCTTGAGCATCCGCCTCCGTCATCGCGTAGACCCTAGCTTGAGTCCTTCCTTGATTCACGGACGGCGCATTGCTTGCGCTTGCTCCCCCTTGCCCCCTGGACGCTTGTGAAGTCCCGACTTGATTCCGTGTCCCGGTATTACCACTACTTGGTCCCGATGACCTTGCCCCACCCAATTGTGGGCAATTCATCTTCAAGTGCCCGGTGTTTCCGCATTGATAGCATCTAGGAGGGTCACGACATTTCCCCAGGTGGTTCCTCTTGCAATTCTTGCAACGAGTCCCCCCCGAGGCTTGTGATTGCCCGCCCGGGCCTTGACTTCCCCTAGATGGCAGTGGGGGTGTCCGAAAGGATCCTCCTCCCCCATGGTTCCCCTTTTTGCTAGGACCTTGAGGTCCATGGTTCTCCCACTTTCTCTTCTTCGCCTCTTCGGCGTTTTTCAACTTTCTCTCTTCCCATTCTTTCTCTCCTTTCAACCCTTGCTCGACCACTTGGCTAAAGGTCATGTTAGGCAACTGTGTTGCCCTCTCACGCACCTCCAGGTCTAAGGCATCCCAGAAGTGATTTACCATCCGGTTCTCGTCACAGACATACTCCAGTATGAACTCCGCGAGCTCCCTGAATTTATGTTCAAGTTGCCTCACCGTCATCTTGCCACCTTGGGTCAGGAGGGTATACTCTCTCCTTTTAGCGTTCACCTCAAAATCAGAATAATATTGGGCAAAGAACTCCTGTCGGAAATTCTCCCAAGTCACGGTATTGCCATACTTTCCCTTGGCTCCATCCCACCATGTGGATGCCATCCCTTCAAGCAATCTCACCGCCACCCTTAGTTTAAATTCGGGGGTGAGTTGCATATCAAGGGCTGCCTCGTTCAACCTCTTGATCCATTCCGCGGCGACCGAGATGTCGCCTGCTCCGTTGAAGGGTTTGCACCCCAAGTCCCTAGCCTCTTTAAGAAATTTTGAGATCCTTATGATTGGACCTCCATCACCCCGGCCCCCATGTGGTTCAATGTGGGCCCGAGAATCGCCATGGCTTCTTCCTCTTGAAACCTCACCCGAAATTCGCCCTCCCCGGCGCCTTCAGGGTTCCCTCCTTTCCTCGCGCTCCCGTTGATATTGTTGGAGCAGCGCCTCTATTCTTGCTAGGGAGTCATTCTCCCCCTCTTCATCGCTCACATCATCGTCATCCCCTTCGTAAGGGGTCTCAACCGGCTCGGTTTCCGGTTGGTAAGTCGAGTCCTCATAGGACCAGTAGGTTTCACTTTCTGTGTCGACATGACCGTCACTCACGGTCTGTGATCGGCCTCCACGGCCAGCTCCTCTAGATGCCCTAGAGGTCCTTCGACTGCCCTGTCCAGTCTCCTCTGGTACACGGCCGGTCGGGTTTCTCCTAGTAATCCTGCCACCACGGTCCATTTCTGAAAGAAATTGGGAAAGAGTCGTTAGACTCGTATCAAATGTCAATTGACGGATAGGTACTTAAGACACATTTTGGCTCGAGTCACTGCCATACCAATTGCTAAGGGTACCATCTTAACAATTAGAGACCTTGCAACCCAAGTACCAAAAGCTCTCCAAGTACAAAACTTCTATGCTCATGGTTTTCAAAATCTTTTCAAAAAGAGAATTTTGAGACTTCATTATGAAGTTTATGGAACCTGGCTCTGATACCAACTTAATTGTCACGCCCCGGACCTCCCCGGACACGTCAACAACCCGCCGTACAATATGAATAGTCAACCGCAGTCCAACACGTTCATATTATACAAGGCGTCTAGAATATCACTCACACGCAAGCCATCCATAAACAACATAATAAGCAATCGAAAACGTAGCGGAAAACATAGTTTGAAAACAAATGCCACACGTGGCTAACATGAGCACGCAGGCTCTATAGTAAAATATTCATGAGCATGTTTGTTAATGTTTAAAAACCGAATGGAGGAAGCACGAACCAAGTCTTCCCTCCTAGATGATCTCTCGAGCAATGAGCACAGGAAGCAAGCTCTAGCCTCAACCTGAAAAATGGTGGTGGGACGCCCCCGAAGGGGTCAGCACTCTATAGGGCTATAAAGTGCTGGTGTGGATGGCATCTAATAGATATACAACAAGTATTTCAAACACAAGACCCTCAAATAGGGTGATAATATAATCTAGGCCGTAACCCCAAGTTACCCCGTTTTTAAAATATACTTACTTTATATATAAAGTCAAGTAGTCGGCCCGTAGGCCCAAGGTTTGTTTATCAAACATAGCCCAAACCCCGTGACCCCTAGTCACAACAACATATAGGGTTCAACCCTAACACATATATTTGCATTCTCGAGTCCAACTCGACTACATCACCATGCACCTTATTTAACACAAGTTAACTACTCCACCGTGCATTTCTTGAGTCCAACTCAACTACATCACCATGCACATCAATCACCACATCATGTCTACCCAATGCAATTCTATGAGCACGGGCTCAAGTACATCTCCTTACATTGGCATAGACCCCAATTCCTAAGCACTCACTATGCCTAGAATTGTAATATCAATAATCTATTTTGGGACATCCCTACGAACTGCCCAACCATGGTCTTAGCATCACATTACATCAAATTTGTCACTTGCATCACAATCAAGTACATCAATTATAATCAAATCCTTAGATTCAATTCCTTAACAATTACAACAATCATTAACTAGTATTTCAATACTATTCAGATTATTCTTATCCATCATATACTCCATTTGTATAATCCTACATATTTAGATATATGTAGCAGCAACTTAATCATTCAACGCAATACATAAATAATCATTTGTGTATTCATACAATTCACACATGGATGAAATGACTATTTCACCCAATAGTTCATTTAACTCCATTTTTATCAATCCTTTACCAAATCATTTCTCATTTCATTCTTTGGAAAGTAGATCAATATTTCATCAATAATTTATCATCATAATCCATGGAAAACATTATTTAGGCATTTAGGTAATCTCATGCTTAACCTACAAGTTGTAAGCAACTAGATGTCGATCCTCACCTCAAATGAGCTTTAAAACTTTCCTTCTCGATCCAATGACCAAAGCCTCGGCCAAGGAAGATTGAGAACTGGTTCCTTGCTTGAAAATGGGTGTTAAACAGCTTCCTCAAGTTGCTAATTCAACCCCTAACCGTGGATACGAAAACAGCCCCTAGAACGGGTGTTTTCCGGCTAACTCGATTCCTAGTTTTCCAATATTTGCTCTAGGTTAGTATCTAACCTTTACATCAATAAAAATAACTTTACAAGGACATATTATACACTTGGATTAGTGTACAATAGTCCCACCAATCTTTCATATCATTTGGAAAATGAATGGAAAGGATTTGGGGTTAACAACTCACTTTAGAAGAGTAAATCCGTTTCTGCGAGGTTGTGTTTTGCTCGGACGATTTGGAAGCCTTCCTCTACTCCGATTGATGCAAACCAGACCTTCACGGATTCCTCGTCTTGAGAGCTTTCTTTTGGTATCTCACACGTCTTAATTGGATTGGTAAAACTCGAGATATCCACCAAACAGTCTCAGCACTCTCACAGCCCGAGTTCACAGACCACCACTCCCTCCAGCTCGATTTTTGTAAGATAAGCTCTCTCTCCTCGAACCAAGACCACTCAATTATGAAACTACACTTCAAGAGCTATCCAAGGACACCTCATACACGTTATTTGGTTGAGGATAGCTCCTATAATGAGAGGAGACAAACAGCACACCAATTTGTGCGAAAATAAGAGTGGTGGCCCAAACCTTGATTCTTATCAAGTCATGTGCAGCTCTTCTCCATAATGGCCGGCCAAGGTAAGTCTCCTAACCCATTTTTATTTGTCTTGCAGGTACTAATATCATGTGGAGTGGTTCCCAATTGATCCCAATCATTTTGGGGATCCAAATTATCTACCAATACATCCAAAAATGGAAGAATGGGTCCTATTGTTTTATCTTTTGTCAAAGATGTCTTTTTGTACTCATCCTAACTTATTTAGAACAAGTCAACTTCCTACATAACATTATTGATCTCCAATATGTGTAGGCTCATCTCAATAATTTACTTGATGGATAATATAGAAGGAAAATCCTACTCCCATTATTTGGCTCAATAATGCCAAAGATGGTATCATAGGCATTTGTATTCATCTCAAATCATCCTATAACTTATTTTGACATTTGTCATCCATATTATTGGGCTACCAGCCGTGTGGGTCGCCCCCGAGTGGGCCTACGACGCCATTCTCGAATACTTGCTATTTTAGCGGGTTGAGCCCAAAATAATATCTGGGCCGCCCGCCCCTCCTCAACTTGTCTTGAAACGTTATGTATCACTATTTAGATAATGCCAGGCCCTTTTATTTATTAATAAGGCCCGATACTAATATACGAGTTCGAACAGTATAATAATCAATCGTTAATTACGTAAAACAACAATCGTTTCACAATTGTTTGGGAATCAGAAATTCAATACATAAACTTTGAATTTTTAATTTGAATTTCCAAGGACGTTCGGGTGCGGTGTCACAAGTTGCTTCCAACTTGTGACTTAAAAATGCTTGGAGGGCTTTTTGCACATGATTAATTATGACACAGGGGTTTGACATATTTTTTAAATCACGGAGGCTAATGCGCCGAATATATGTTTCACGAGGGGGTTTGTGCATTAAACCCTTAAAAATGCTTAAGTTGAACAGAATTTTACCTTTGCAAACATCCATTTTAGCTCATTCTAATAAAAAGTTGAGAAGTATTTTCTATTTTTGAATAGAGTTTGCAAAGAGAGCCTAAGATGCATATGAGCTTTGTGTGAGTTATAAGAAAATAAAGGTTAAAATGGTAGTTTTACAAATTTTACCTCAAAAACGTAAGAAAGAGAAAGTTGAGTCAAAAAATAATCTATATTAATATAAAAACGGAATCGTAGGCCATAAACTGCTCCCGCTTAGGGATACTCCTGGACATCTGCTTATGCCACGTTGTACACATTAAATAAAAAAACAGGCCCACCATTTAATGAAATTTAGGGAGTGTTTGCGATTGCTTCAACTTTTAAAAAGTGATTTTTTAAAGTGATTTTGGGAAAAGTGATTAATAGTAAAAGTTGGTAGTGTTTGAGAAAAAAGTGATTCTGAAAAAGTAAAAGTTGGTAGTGTTTGGTAAAATAAGTACTTTTTGTGTAATAGAAAAAGTGAGAAGCAGTTTAAAGCACCCTTCTACCTGCTTCCAGCTTTTAACTTTTAAGTGATTAATTTAAGCAGAAGCTATCATTTGAAAACACTCTTTTCAACTTTTTTTAAGCCAAAAGCTGAAAAACGCTTTTTTTAATCAACCCCAAACACTCCTTTAGTCTACATCGGCCCACACACCAAATGAAACTCAGAGCAAGCCCACACAAAACTTCACCGCCTCACTTTTCATCCAAAGCACAACAGTACAACACAATTGCTAATATTGCATGCGGACCACCTGTCACGTGGACTGATTAAAAATTAATTAAAATATGGGAATAAATAATATTATCTGTTTAAAGATTAAATATTAAATTAAATATTAAATATACAAATTAAAAAGGAAAAGACACTTCGGAAGGGTACGTATCGGTACCACGATGCCATACGACGTTAGTTAACCGCATGGCAGTTCCCCCCACTACATGAAAACTGCAAACTGCAAGAAATATACACCACGGGATCAGAGTTTCTAGGCATTGTAAGTCCGCAAAACTGGCAGAAGTAAGAAAGCAATTCATTACTACCGCATGTCCATCTAAAGAGAAAGAACTAGAGAAGGATGTTGTATAATTGGATTTACGAATTGAATATAATGCGGCAATGACCAATTGGGCTTTGAGGGTGAGGTTGGTACGTATGATGCTATGCCTATCCGAATTTCAACAGCAAGCACAAGTGAATTGTCCCATATGCACTGGAATGCGTCTTCCAAGATTCAGAGGTACCAATAATCTAATTCTCTATGGATTATTCTTTTAGCAGTTCAGTCGAAAAAGTTCTCTTATGTATGTCAAACAGGGTGAGCGTATCCATGCAACCATCCGCAAGGAACATGCATATATAACAACAGTGTTTCAAAGAGGGCGATTTTATATTCTTAGAAGATTACACATTTTATAGCATTATGCTGGTATGTTTTTATCATTAGTGTGCTTTCCTATTTAAAGTTGTTTGAAGTGAACTATTGCTTTCTGTGTTCCTAGATTAAGCACTTTAAATATCTCTAGGTGAGATTGTGTGGTATTAGTATTTCGTCAAATACATTTAGGTACCCAGAATGCTAAAGTCTGGTAGTGTATTTACAAGTGGTCATGGTAATATATTTCATAGTGGTTATGTTAAAGTGACATTTTAGATTATGTGTTTATCAAGACAATAATAGTTTTAGTAGTCAGTTTGTCAAATTCATTTGCAATTAGTTTGACACAAATATTTTACCAAAATGACTTTGTAATTTAACAAACAAAAAACTATCCCATGTTTAAAAAAATTTAATTGTTTATTTTAACACCTTATATGTCATCACGATCAAGTGAAATGAGGAGAGTTTGGTAGGAGAAATTTATAGGAAAGAAATATAATTGAGAAAAGGAATAAAACATACACGTCCCTGCCTCCTATAGTAGAGTTTTTTGGTTTTGTTCTTGGTTGCAACTTGCAAGGAATTCTATTTCTAGCCTGTTTCTACTTATTACATTACAAACTTTACAAATGTGGGCATTAAAAAAAAGACCCATATACTTATTACGGAGTATTACATAATGAAATCGTAATCGAAGTACAAGAAAAACCAAATCTGCACCTAACAAAGTAAAATAATATTTAGAAATCTTCATACCATATGGGATTAGTGAATAAATGTTGATAAGCAATAGTGATGGAATGCCCAGCAGTTCAACCATCAATGAAGTGTATCTAGAGGCTTTCCAAAATGTGTGATTGGAAAACTCTATTGTGCTTTGTTTTTAAAGGCAATGACTATATATGTGTATGTTATTTAGATTGTGTGTGTATTTCTCTTTCATTGAGATAACAAAAACTTGCTAAATATGTATATATTATTGTCCCGTGCATCGCACGGGTACAATACTAGTTCACATAATGCGAAATGCAAAAGTGACGGTGGTGGATTCAAGTATAACTTCCGGGGACAATGGTGAAATCAAACATTTACGGAGTATAATCGATCCTTTGTGTTTTAAACTTGCATATGTAGCAACCAAAGCGCTTCACTTAAATTATACAAACACAAAGTTTCATAGGAATTGAGTTTTGAAAGTATCTAATTGAATCACGAATTCACTACAAATATCTTAATCAAATCATCTAAAAGCTACTAGTATAAAAAATTAAATACATCACAGTATCTAAGATTTAAAATATCTTCACAAATCCGAAATGGACACAGCAAAATTGTTCTAAATCACAACAACACCGGCAAGAATCCCTGATTGGAATGATTCAAAAGATCCCACAAGACCTAGAAGCCAATCCGGTAGCCGCTCTTCCTTTACAGGCGTTCTGCAGATGCGGTCTGACGTCCGACAGCCGGACGGGTTTCAGGCAGTACTCCTCGGCGCCTTCCGACAGGCAGGTGTTAATCCGGGCAGGAATATCCTCCGACGACACAATGACGACGGGGATGTGCTTCAAAGCAGAGCATCCCTTGATCTCCCTCAACAGATCGTAGCCGGTCATTCCCGGCATACTGTAGTCGGAGATTATCAGATCCGCTCCCACCTCATTCAACACCCGCAGAGCCTTGGCCCCGGAATCCACCACCGTCACCTTCACATTGTCGCCGGAGCAGGCCTTCAGGATCCTCTCGATCAGTTTCCGGTCGACGATGCTGTCGTCGACGGCCAAAACATGGAAGTTTTCACACTCGCTATATGCCATTGTTAATACACGAAGAAGATCTGAATCAATTGATACAAGAAGAATATGGCTTTTGGGATTGGTTTGTGAGAGGATTGGGAACGATTTGCTGTTATATATAGATGAATGAATCAGAGAGGTGATTTGGGGGATGTTTAATTCGGAAGATTAGATTTTGGATGAGATATGCCGGTGGCGCGGCGATTTAGAAAATGTGCGGCAGATACGGAGGATCGGGGCAGATATACGTAATGAAATCTGGAAACATACGGAGTATATACTCGGTATCATTTAATTTGAATGTTTGATTTGGACGGGCAGATATCAACGTGTCCCATTGTTAATGAGAAAAGCTGTACTGTAGTGGCCGCCCCGCGACTTTTCTTTTTCATTTGGCTGCACTGTAATACTTCTTCGTAATTACTGTGTAATTAGTTTTGACCTGATATCCTCGTGTCAACAAACTAGTAGTTTTATAGAAGTGTCAATAAATGTACGGTATAAGAAGTGTTGTCACTTCTCAAAAGGTTATTTTCAAAAATCAGGGATGCATATAGGATGTTACCAGACCAGACCGGACCAGTTTCAGACCAGAAAATGGTTGTGTTTGGTCTGGTCTGGTCTTAACTGGCCTGGTCTGAACTGGTCCGGTCCGGTCTGGTAAACGTCTGGTTGTGTATTTTATAATTACGGGAGTCAAGTCTGGTCTGGTCTGGAACAGAAAATGGTCAAAAGAAAACATCCTTACTCCATTTGATAAAAAGTTAGCTGGCGAAGCTAATAAGTTGAAAATATGACTTATCAAACCGGATATGAATAATGTAGTATAAGTCAGAAATTTATCTCATGTACAATTAAAATAACGGAAAATGCACGGGTAAGAAGATAAAACGAGTATCCTTTCAATTTTCTCTCGACCCTCTGTGTCAGTTTGATAACGTTAAAATTAATTGAATCTGTTAAATATATCGAAATCGATGATTATATCTTTTTTTGGAAGAATTCGACTTATATTGATAACAGATAATTCAGAGTATCGGTCAAGTGACAAAAAGAAATCTGACAACCATTATCCCGCGAACCAGACTCAGAATTAATCACCTCCAGAGAAGCAATATAATTCGTTGATCCATAAATGGGAAATTAAAGTAAAAAACGCTCACCATATTCCTCTCATCCCCCACGTCTAAAATCAATGTCTTACAACCAGGAACACAAAAGCAAAAACAAACAACATAACAGAAATAACAATCACTAAAACAGCAAATAAAACAAAAGATAAAAAAACTTCTGTCGCAGCCAGAACACTCGAACAGTCCCTCAGACATGCGGCCTCCATACTCCTGTCAGCGGCTTCGGCGGGCTTGAGGAGCAAAGCCCGCCTCCTCGTTTTGTGTCCCATCCAAAGCCATATTGTCCTCTTCGTGCTCCTTCTCTGTCTGAGTCTCCCAGATCTTCCTTCTCATCGAAACCTCTTCTTTTGGCTCCTCCCCTCCTCCTTTGGTAAAATTTTGGGTTGGTTCCGTCGTTGCCTCTTTCTCTTTCTCTCCAATCTTTTCTTCTGATTTAAATGCCCATGTATATCCACTCGTTCTGCCAGAGCTCGATGAACCCTCCAAGAGCCACTTATTACCTCCTGTTGGGTTGGTCTTCACCCCGCTTCCTACTCTAAGATGGATTCCAAACCTTTTTTCTAAAACTAAGCCTTCTTCATAATTTAAGGGACATAAATTATCTGAGTGTCCAATAACGCCACAAATGAAGCAAAAGTTGGGTAGTCTTTCATATTTGAAATCTAACCAAAAACTTTTATCATCTTTTTTCAGATTTGTCACCTTCTTCAGCGATTTATCCATCTTCATAAGAACCCTAACCCGCATATATGGCTCCAATTTATCACTTTTCTGATTATCATCATATTTAATAAATTCCCCTATATGATTTCCCACACGTCTGGCAGTGCCCAGTTTAACAAGACTATAGAGAACATTATGTATCTGAACCCAAAACATAGTCTCATTTAAAATAATTTTGTGTGGGATATCATCAGGCATAACTTCTTTTAACATTAAGAGACTACACTCAAACTGCCAAGGACCTCCTTCCAGCACACGCATCATATCAAAACGATGATTAAAAGTAAATAGGCACCTCTTTTCACCAATTTCTTTTACCGACATACCCTTCCCCGACCTCCAAAGTGAGAGCATCATCTCTCTCAGTTCTGAAAATTTGACATTACGGTCCGTAAGCACCTGACCAATCACCGGAAAACCCGCCGCAGTCACCTCCACTGGAACTCCCTCAGTCTCAACCTCATCAAGGTTCAACTCCTCCTCATCAGCCCCGATCGCCAATTGCTTATACCGATCAACAAAGTTTTCCATGCTCCTAATCTAAACCTCCGCCGCACTGCTGCTGGAAACCGCCTCGGAAGCTCTACGCTATCGGAATTGCACCGTCCTCCTAGCCTTATCACCGAACTCGCCCCTTCCCTTGCTTCTGAAACCGAAATAAATAGTCAAAACCACATCCTTCCCCACCAATCCGATTGTCCACAATCCTGACTCCAATAGCACCGCCCAAATCACCCAACCAACACGCCTTCGATAGACTCGAAGGCGGACGAAAAAACTAGGGGTTGCATGAGGCAACCCTAGACAGCGAAAGTGAATAACTTTCGTCAATCATCGATGCTTATATCAATATATCATTAAATGGCCAGAATTGTCCTTCACATTTTTAATACATTAAAAAATGTATATAAATTGATAAGCTCAAAAGCAATACAGGGGCTCTCTAACAGTCTCATGTACTACGTACTACGTAGTACTCCGTATATAATTTTATGTGTTTCTATTTCTTTCTTATGATGATTATACAAAGCGTTTATTTACAATTTTTTAATCATTGCACTACTTCTTCAAGTTTTAGCCAGATACTATGACTACATTCGAATTTGTAAAAAGATAAACATATGTATAAACCTGTAAATGAAGGGGACCTGGGGAAGTGTTCAAATACAGTAGATTTTTCTAGAAATTTTATTAATTCGAAATCTGAAAAGTAAATGAACTATGAATCTAAGGATGTTTTCTTTTGGACTGTTTTCAGTCCCAGACCAGACCAGACCAGACCAGACTTAAACAGACCAAACCAGACCAGACCAGACCAGCCCAGACTTCCGTAGTTATAAAATACACAGAGACCAGACGTTTATCAGACCTGACCAGACTAGTTCAGACCAGATCAGACTTAAACAGACCAGACCAGACTTAAACAGAACAGACCAGACCAGCAAATTTCAGTCCAAAAGAAAACATCCTAAGACTTAAATTGTCGTCAATTTTATTACTTTTTATTTTAAAATTCTAAGACACTTTTTAGTCTTATTAAACTAGCTAATAAACTTTCGTGAATAAAAAATCATCAAAAATTGGTAATGGAATTAATAAAAGCTAAATGATCAAAATCTATAAAAATTCGGTCTTTGATGGACAATTTTCAATCTTTTAGGTCATATACTAACACATTTCATATTTCAATTCTCGAATTGATAGACTAAAATATGAAATTTCGGTCCCGAATTTCATATTTCTATTGTTTCAAATTTATCATTTTGAGTCATTATACTAGAATAAAAAATATATCAAGTAAGCATGCTTATTTTAAAAAGAAAAATTATGTAAAAAATAAAATAATCTTATTCGGTGGAATTGGCAAATCCAACTGGAGGAATGAATTCAAACTTACATTTTTTAATTATTAGAAAATTCACCCAATGAAACCAAAAATTGAGTGTGATTAAAATCTAGATCAGTTGGTCTGATAGCAATCATAGCATCCTTATCAGGTTATTACGACACACCTAATTAAATAGTAAATTAAGGCCCATACTTTAAATTGTCAATTTGGCCATCTTACAATTTATATACACAAACTCAATTAGGTTCTGGTGTACTCTTTTTTTCTTCAATTACGCCTCCTACGAAATATATCCTATTAAATCAGATTTTTAGGAGGTAACACATCGGACAATAGGTCACCTACTGACATGACGCACATGTGACTTATCGTGACACATGCACGACGGCCTACCTCACTCCTTTTCCCCTTTTCATTTCCCTTTTCTTTTTGTTTCTTCTTTTACTCCCTCCGTCCTGCTATTAACTTCATACTTTGACCTACACACATATTTAGGAAATAAATTTGGTTTTACTGTTTAGACACCGTTTGGCACTGTTTAGACACTGTTTGGCACTGTTTGACACTGTTTTGCACTGTTTGACACTGTTTTGATGTAGGATAACTTTCCACTTAGCGAAATGAGAAGATGATTTTGGGACGGCCCAGAAAGGAAAGCAAGAAGTTAATAGCGGGAGGGAGTATCTCTTTTTTCCTTCTTTCTTAGCTTCCCCTTTCCCATTTTTGCCTTGCACAGGCCGAAAGATTCGGAGAAGTTGCAGCGACAACTAGGAGTAGGTGGCGATGCGAGTAGGGACCATTCGACAACCTTAACCTAAGCTGGATGAGAGTAGCGATGAACGACTTAACATAATGTGTAGGCAGCTGCATCCTGGGGACATATGGCTAGATTGCGACGAAATGCCAGCATATCTTTGTGATGTTTTTGGAGGAGCGAGGAGGAGAGAATGGGCTCTCAATGATGGTACAATAGAAGTGGTTGGTCATTGTTCGTGTCATTGCTATGGGTGAAGAATGTCGGTAAGTGCTCTGGCTGCTGGATAGAGCTTCGTCACTAAATTGTCAGCTCGGCTAGAAGAGGTCTGCCCACCTGGATTTGGTGGTCGCGGCAACGACGACCCTGCCTTCCATTGCTCACACAATCGGAGAATGTGGCTGAAGCCCATCAGATGAGCAGACTATCCTTCTGACGGTATAGCTAGGGAATGAGAAAAGGGAAACGAAAGAAAGAAAACGGAATAGAAAAAGTGTGTTGTGGTCTAACACGTGTGTGCTACACTGCTACGTCACACCATGTGTAACCTGGTGACCCAAAATCGAATTTGACGAAAAGTACGTTGTAGGAAGAAATAATTGATTAAAATTAAAGCATAAGAGTTATATCGACTTTCCATATTACGGAGTAGGAGAACCAATTTGCCACTTTTCTATGAATACAAATATATTTAAAAATTGGGAAAATTCCTTACAAATTCTAAATG